GATATATTCAGGCATAGGCCAAAGGTCAAATAGGGACTCTTCTTGGCAGCTGCGGAAGATTTAAGAGACCACAGTATGACATGAGTGTCCAGTGGTGCCCAGTGTCCAGGTGTGATGATGCTTGTGGTGGCATCCTAGGCAAATGGTTGATTTTTGTTTGTTTTGTTCTATTTTGTTTTGTGGCATGTCTATTTTATTCTGCATTTAGAAAATATACATAATAACAAAGTCTATTAGGAATTCAGTAATAGTTTTTTTTAATGACTGCTTTATTAAGTTATTACTCATGGCATACAACTCATCTATTGGCTTTTAGTATATTCACAGAATTGTGCAACCATTACCAAAATCAATTTTAGAACATTTTTATCACTCTTCACACCAATCCCCCCCCATACCCATTAACAGTCACTCCCCTCCTCCCTCCCTGCCCTCCCAGCTCTTCACAACATGAATCTACTTTCTGTCCCTATAGACAGCAAACTGTTATTTTTTTTTAAGTTTATTTATTTATTTTGAGAGAGAGAGCATGTGAGCGGAGAGGGGCAGAGAGAGAGAGAAGGAGAGATAGTGAATCCCAAGCAGGCTCCACACTGCCAGTGCAGAGCCTGATGCAGGGCTTGAACTCAAAAACCATGAAATCCTGACCTTAGCTGAAATCAAGAATCGGGCACTTAACCTACTGAGTCACAGACACCCCAACAGCAAACTGTTCTTAAACCAGGATTTAAAGTATACCTTCCTTCCCTTGAGGTAAGGTTTCTACTTAAGTCTTGCATTACTATTGCCACAGAACAAATCACCCCAAAATTTATCAACCTAAAGCAACATACATTTATTTTCTCACAGTTTTTGTGAAGCAGGAATCCAGGTACCACTGGTGCTGGGCCCTCTGCTCCAGGATCTCTCACAAGGCAGCAGTGTGTTGACCCAGGCTGCTGTCTTATCTGAAGGCTTCACTGGGGAAGGATCTGCTTCCAAGTTCACTAACACTGTTGTTGAGAGGACTCAGTTCCTTGAGGATTATTGGACTAAAGTCTCATTTCCTCACTAGCTGTTGGCTGGAGGCCACCCTCACTTCCTTGCCACATGGGTCATCCCAATGTGGTGACTTACTCTATCAAAGCCAACATAAGACAGAATCTGCTAGCAAAACAGAAGTCACAATCTTTTGTGACCTCATCATGGAACTGACGTTCTCTCAATGTTTCTACATTCTATTGGTTAGGAGCAAGTTACTAAAGGAGAAGAAATTACGCAAGGCATGAATATCAGGAAGCAGGGAGCATTGGGGCCATTTTGGAGGCTCTGTACCAAAACTGTCCTGCAAATGTCCTGCAACCCACCCCCCCAAGTATGAGATCTGTAGGCTATTTAATATCTTTTTAATACATTTTTAAAATTATTTTTAATGTTTATTTTTTGAGAGAAAAAGAGACACAGGGTGCTAATGGGGGGGGGGGGGGGGGGGGATCAGAGAGATAGGAAGACACAGAATCTGAGGTGGGCTCCAGGCTCTGAGCTGTCAGCACAGAGCCTGACACAGGGCTCAAACTCACGAAAGGTGAGATCACACCTGAGCTGAAGTGGGATGCTTAATGGACTGAGCCACCCAGGCATCTCTACATTCTTTTTTTACTTGAGATAGCCTGAATTGGTGACTCTTCTTTGCATCCAGACCAATATAGGTGTTTGCTACTTACTATTCTGTAATATTGTGATTCTGAATTCTGTTGACCTAGCTCCTTTCTCTGTGAGGTGTGAGCTACTTGATAAAATTATTGACCCTGCTTGTTACTCCTTTTCCCCCCAAAGTTATCAATTCTGTTTCTGAGTAGTTGACTCTCTTAGAGCCAACTAGGCAGCATCCATCTGAAAACTAGTTTGGATATCAATCTCCACAAAGATCATGGAAAAGAGGTTAAAAACCTCTTAAATTAGCCCTATCAAAATAGGAAAACTGAGCCCTGTCAATATAACAGTCTCATATTCAGGTAAGGGTTTTTGTAGTTTGTCCTCATTTGGGCTATGGCCAGAGGTTGCTTTCTTCCCCAGAGGTTCTGCAGAATTTTAGTATCAGAAATCCAGGGACACTTGGGTGGCTCAGTCAGTTAAGCGTCTGACTTCTGCTCAGGTCATGATCTTGGGGTCCATGGGTTTGAGCCTGTGTCAGACTCTGTGGTGACAGATCAGAGCCTGGAGCGTGCTTCAGATTCTGTGTCTCCCTCTCTCTCTGCCTCTCCCCTGCTCATGCTCTGTCTGTCTGTCTCTCTCTCTCTCTCAAAATAATAAATAAATGTTAAAAAAAAAAGAAATCCAGAGCAAACTAGCAACAAGAAAAGGGAATTTGTCGCCTCACATAACTAGGAGAAATACCAGGGAGGCTCACAGCATCAAAAGAACTGTAGAGCTCTGGGGGCTGCAACCAGTGGCCCGGGGCAGGCAGCTGTCCTCTCGGCTCTTATTGGCATCTCCATCATCTTCATGTCTCACTTACTTGGCCTCATTCTCTACTATTGTAATCATGCCTTGATATGTGACCTTTAGTCTTTGAGCCAGAAGAGAGAGAAAGTTTGGGTCAGCTGTTTATTCCAGGGCCAGGAAGATGGAGTCATATGCTAGGCCAGGCCTGGGTTACATGGCCACATTCTTGTTGCCAGAAGAAGGACCATGAAAAACCAATAGCCACTACTGCCCAGCTCAGATCAACCATGTAAGTGATCCCTGAAATAGTGGAGATCCCATACTGGGAAGCATTGTCTGTGATAAGGCCCTATCTGGGAACCATGCGTTGAATGGATTCTTTTTTTGGCCAATGTTTTTCATTGTCCAGTGTCTTAGTCCACTGGCAAAAATAGAGTCACATTGAATTTTTGCATTATAGATTTCTTATTCCCTAACTACTTGACAGTTGGGAAAAAATTATTGGTAGAGACATGAAGGCCAGGGATGACATGGAAAATAGCTGTCCGTTTCATAGACTCATGACCAAGATTAAATTATAATAACAAAAGAGGCCACAACTTTTTATATACTGTTATTTTTTGTGATATATGGGCAGATTGTCATTTTTTGTTTTTAACCTTTCAAGTAAGGAATGATTTGTCAAGTTTATGAAAAGCACATGCATTCAGAGACTCATTAATCTTAGTGCCAAGGGTAAGTCTTGTTTTCAGACCCATATAAATATGGATTGAGGTCAAGATCAGATTTGACCTTTGGGAGATGTAATATGGTTCTACTTTTGAATACATATATTGACACTGAAGTTACCCTAGTAATTCTTCTAGACAAGTGCTATAATAGTCTCCCTAAAAACTCGTCTTGTCCTGGTACCATTCACAGTTGATCAGGGATGTTCTGACAGCCAATCACTTGTTCTTTGCCACATCTTTATGGAGGGCCTTGTATGTGCTAAGTGCTAGAAGCAATTGTGTGGGATAATATGCCTGATCCTACCTACTTATAGCTAGGTTTAGAGTTCTCCCCTCAAGTAAGGAAGAAGCTCACTTTTAAATTTAGACTGGAATCCAGTATTAAGGATGGTAGTGGGGTGTAAAGAAGTAAAGATAAAACTTACTTGATGTCTCCCAGAGAGATAGGGGAGTGTGGGGTCAGGAACTTGGTTCTTGGTTCAGACAGACTAGAAATTGACTCTTAGCAAAGATACCTCCTAGCTTTGTGACACTGGGAAATTAGTTAACTTCTTTAAGCCTTGGTTTTCTCATCTGTAAAATGGGATTAATAATAATATAAACCCTATAGGATTGTTTGATGTGTTTTTAATAAGATAATCCAAGTAAGACATTTAGCATTGTGTGGGCATATTGCTTTAAAAGCACTAAAGTAGTTGTAATAATCTCAGGAATAATAATTTATTGGGGGGTCCCTGTGTCCCCTTTATACCACACTTTTTTAACAGTTTTTTTTAAGTGTATTTCTTTTGAGAGAGAGGGAGGGAGGGAGGGACGGGCAGAGAGAGAGAGAATCTCAAGCAGGCTCTGCGCTGTCAGCACAGAGCCCGAAGCAGGGCTTGATCTCACAAACCATGAGATCATGACCCGAGCAGAGATCAAGAGTTGGTCGCGTGACTAAGCCACCCAGACACCCCTACACAGGCTTTTATAAACTCTCCCAGGTCTTGGTATAAAAAGTAATCCACCCCCACCACTGGTCAGGCAGCATGGGGTCTCTTAGCAGAGGCTTTGGAACAAGGCTGACTTGGGTATATAGGCAGGATTTAACTCTCAGAGATCCAGTTCCTCAACTGTAAAATGAGACACTACAACATGTCATGAGGATTAAAGATAATATATTTAAGTGTGTGGCAGATAATAAGCTCCACTGTAGGCTGGCTTTAAAAAAATTCCCCACCTGGCCATCTTTGCCATCCTGGGTCATAGGGATGGTGTAAGTGGGGATCTCTAGAAGGCAAATCTCAGTTGTCCCTATTGTCATTTTTATTCTCATTCTCACTGGTCCTGAGCCAGACTTCACTGCTTTTAGATCTGGCCTGATTTCCTTCAAACAAAGGCCTATGAAGCCATGATAATGGCACTGCCATTTAGAAATATGGTCTTCATATAACACACTTCCTAGCACAGGTTGCCAGTCAAGAGGCAACATAAACATCAATCTTAGCTCTACAGAGAATGAGCATGTAAGACTGAGTTACAAATACACACTAACGTGATTAAGACTTTGCATCAAGACTGTCAAGAAACATTAGCAAATAAAAGATTTGTTTGATAGAGAAAAATTAATGTTCAAAGGTCAAAGTTTCTTGAGGAAAGTTTTCACCACTTCTGCCTGGTACTGAAAAGCTACAAATCAATAAAAATTCTGCATTTCCCCACGTTATCGATTCTTCCTTCACATTGCAGATTGTTCTAACACCATTTCCCATGGGTCTATGCAGAAGAGAAAAAAGCATAGGGGAAAAAAGCTTGTGTAGGAGCTTGGTGACATTTACTGACATTTTCCCTGCTTGTGTCTTACAGCGTACTTCTGCTTCCTCCTATCTGCTCTGGGTGTGACAGCTGGTGCCCATCGCTTGTGGAGCCACAGGTCCTACAAAGCCAAGCTGCCTCTGAGGATATTTCTGGCTGTTGCCAACTCCATGGCTTTCCAGGTGGGGAATGGAGGGTCCTCTCTGCCTTAGGGACCCAGCGCAGATGGCACTGTGGGTGGAGGCACAGACCTGCTCCCTGTGGACTGATCATTCCTTCACTTCCATTCCAGGCTCAGTAATCAGGTCCCTAAGCATTCCTCTTCTGTCCCAAATTTCTATCTCCTTGTAGCTTTAGATACGGTAAAATGTTCCCTAGGGGCTTTGTGCCCCTAGGAATACTAAACCACAGAGGAGGAATGAGATTCCTCCACCCAAAACGCATGCCCCGAAACCCTCAACATTTGTCCGGCTCTACCCATGGCCAAGTTCTGTGCTGAGCATGCTATCTGCATATTGCGTTTGACCCTCATAGTAACCCCATGAGCTAGGTGTCATATGTGTCCCCATTTTACAGATGAGGAACTAAAGCTTAATGAGGTTAAAGAACTTGCCAAATTACGTGGCTGAAAGTGGTATATCCTGGATATATGCCCTGGATGCAAATGCAGATCTGACTCGAAAGCCATTCATTGCTCCTAGAAAACATACCCTATCATTTTGTGGTAGAGGTCTATTAAATATGGTGCTGGAAGACAGGATTTTAGCCCTACTCTGATGGTTGCTGGCAATCACTTACTCATCTTCAGTTTCTTCATCTATAAAAATAAGAATATGACTTCACTCCCATAGTTGTTATGAAATCATTAAAAATTGCAGGGAAGTATAAAAATGTAAGAGAGTCATCACTGCATTAGGATTGGGCCATATCCTTTAGGACTATTTCAGTTGTAGAACATTCCCCACCACCTTGGGCACTTTCTGAGCTGCTGGATTTTGAGTTGATTATGAATTTTTGTTTTCCCAGCTCCTCATCTGATCCAGGTAGGGTGGATGGGAACAACGTGCTTTCAAAGTTTCTGCCAATATATGAATGCAGATGATTCCAGGCTCCATGTATTTTCACCCATTGGGAAGAAATGGTGATTTTCAAAATGGCTTTAGGGTTCAGGGAAACAGGCAACCCTCAAACATGCAAGTCACGTGGCTATCTCCGCAGTGGGCCTCCCATCCCTACAAGACAACCTGACCCTGAGCATTTCTCCAAGTTGCTCTCATGTCTAAGGGTTCATTTCCCTATTTCCCTCCCACAGTTTGAGCCTTCATAAAGCACATAGGATATAACACAATAGACCTTAGGGAACACAATTCATATTATGGATATCTCTTGGTTATAATTCAAGCAGTCGGGAATTACTACCAGGTCCTGGAGAAAAAGCTATTGTGCACAGAAGAGCAGTTGGCAAATTCTTGTTTTCATGTTCTTTTGTTCATCATCGGCAATGTGAACTACACCACACTTTGTTTTGACTTCAACCATCTTAGTTTAATGTTGTGCTTTGTTTATCATAACAATGAGTTATGATAATGATAATTTAGAAACTCATTGACTTGGGCCTTAGATGCTATTTAGGACTTAACTCTGTAATTTTCATTTGTTTTGTTTGAGCAGTTTATTATTTCTAACCTTCAATTACACACTCATGTAGTTACAAAGCACCTCCATTATTAAAATTTTTTTCCAACCTAAACAACCTGAAATTGAGAACATAAAATTCTTATTTCCCTTTTCCCAATGAAACTATTTACTTACAACTCAATTTTTGATGACCTGAGTTTCCTCAGCATAACATCACATAACAGAACATCACACTGTGATTTTAACTTGACTTTGGGGAGAAAACACATTCTAGAGGAAGTACCCAGGTCCTGGAATAAATTCTTGGCACTGCTATTTTCTACAAGTGGGTTTTTGTGCAATTCCCTCTTCCTTTGTCTGTGAAGGAGGGGGGAAATAAATAATATTTACCTCACAGTTTGTTGGAAGGATGAAATAATGAACAAAAAATGCCCAACTTACAGTTGCATTCAGTGAATATTGTTCTCTCTCTTCTTTATGAGAATTGGCGTACTGTCTCATTCATTCATTCATTCATTCATTCATTCATTTCTGTGTTATGGTGCCTGGCACATAGAAGGCACTCTGAGAGTTTGTTAAAGAAATGAGAAATGAATTAATACTTTCAAGAAGTATTTTTGGAAACAATCAAATTTGAACTGTGCCTACTTCTTTCAGGCTCACATTGTGGTGGATTCTCCCCCCCCCCCATTCATTTGACAAATATTTATTGAGTACTTACTCTATGCCAGGCACTGAGCTAGGCACAGTGGGTATAATGTTAGCAAACACAGTCCCAAGCCTTGTCTTCGTATAGCTTTCCATCTAGTGGAATATTAGAATTTCCACAATTTCCCGGTGGAAATGTCAGTACTTCATGGGTCTGGGGTTTATAACAACATCATAGACCTAGGTAAAAGGTATCTGTAAGGTCAGCATAGGGCCAGCTTCCATACAGTGCAAAACTGTGTCAGTGGGAAAGAGTACAGTCGATCCAGACCACTTAACCCTGGGGAGAGAAGAACCTAGGAAAGTAAAAATGTGCTATGATCTGTCCATGTAGGGTACAGACCTGCAACCCTGATTTTATGCAGAGTCATTGATTTAGCTTCCCTTTGATGTCCTCATGGGTTTTTGAATATAATTTCAAAGGTTCTCCTGTGCTTTACTCCATCAGAATGGTCATGCCTTTGGCCATAATGGACGAGTCATGCCATGGTTATCTGTATTTGAAGACAATGAGCAGGGCTTTTGCTAGAAGCTGCAAACGAGATCTTCAAGAACAATCCTCTTAAAATTGGGGCTTAAACATTTGAAACTTCCTGTTCTCTTTCTTCTGTAGAAGATGTATGCACATGGGGAGGGGTGATAGTGGGAAGGTGTTTTAGTCTGAAAGATGAAGACAGGGCAGGAATGATAGACAAGGAGCTATGATAATCCTCTGTCCCTTTCATTCAGCAGACACCCCCTGAGCTCCTCTCTGGCCCATTCTCCTTCCATACCAGTAGGATGCCAGTCAACCTAAATATGGGTTGCAAGTTCCTTGTAATTTTCTGCTAGTTAAATATGGACCCAGGTGAGATATTTCTACCATCCAATGGTACCCAAGAGTTCAGCTTTCACAAGCACTAGCCAGGGCTTTGGATTTGTGCTTTCACATTCATGCACACACCGCTTCTGGGTGCAACTGGGTCTCTCATGAGCTTAGCCAAATAGCACCTGTTAGATGTTGCAGCCTCCTCTCTGCCCATGATTACTCATCAGATCCTAGTAAAGAGGCATTGGGTTTTGAGCTGGAAGGGAGTTAGTCTAACTCCTCTTATTTTGCAATAAGGGGTCAAGAGTAGTATAGAGAGGCCCAGAGAATGTCAGTGACTTGTGAAAGGTCACATAGCAAGTTAGTGGGTGGACCAGAGGGAAACCTGTCTCCTGACCCTCAGGCCAGGGATGCTTTAAGCTCATCTCTGGGTGTTCTTGTGTGATGTTCAACAGTGTGATCTGTGAACAGCCTCTAGTTGGCTCTTGTTTTTATATCCACTGTGACATCTTGTTTTTTAATTGGTATATTTAAACTATTCACATTTAAAGCGATTACTGATATAGTTGGAGTAACATCTACCCTGTTTCTGTTTGCTACTCATTACCCTTGTTCTTTGTGCCTTTTTTGTCTTCCCTAGTTTTAACTGCACATCTTACATGATTTTCTTTTCCTCTCCCCTTTTAGCATATCAACTATACTTCTTTTTACAGTTGTGTAATGGTTGCTTTAGAGTGTGTAATACACATTTAGAACTAATCCAAATCCACTTTCAAATAACATTATGGCACTTCACAGCAACCTTATAACAGAGCATTTCCAATTCTTCCTTCCTATCCCTTATGACATTGCTGTCATTCATTTCACTTATCCATGAGCTCTAATCAACAAATACATTGTTGCTACTATTATTTTGAACCAACTGTTATCTGTCAGATCGATTAATAAGAAAAATTGAAGTTTTGTTTTACTTTCATTTTTTCACTCTCTAATGCTCTTCTTTCTTTATGTAGATCTGGGTTTCTAACCTATGCCATTTTCCTTCTCTAAAAAAATTCTTCTATCATTTCTTGCAAGGCAGGTCTACGAATGACAAATTCTCTCAGATTTTGTTTGTCTGAGAAAGTCTTTATTTCTCCCTGACTTTTGGTGAATAACTTTGTTGGATATGGAATTCTAGGTTTCGAGGGTTTTCTTTCAACACATTAAATAATTTATTTCACTTTCTTCTTGCTTTCATGTTTTTTAAGATACATCTTAATAAATAAATAAATCTTAATAAATAGTGTACCTCTATAGGGAAGATATTTTTCCCTCTGGCTTCTTTCATTATTTTCTCTTTGCTTTTGATTCTCTGCAGTCTGAATATGATATGCATATTATATACATATA